TGAGGGCATGGAGAACCGCAATTGCTTCGCCTTCCGGTGGGCGAACTCGACCTAAAATTCTCTTCACCTTCCACCACACACACCTGCCATATGAGTCCCGAGCAACCAGAGATATGTTGAAGTGATCTTGTTTCGTCGGAAAGGCAGCATCAACGTTGATTTTTATGGTTCCTGGCAAAGGAGGCAACCAATCCTCTCGGTGAGTAGGAGTAGTTGACCTGAAGCGTTGAAGTTGGGCATCTGTATAGGTTTGGAGAAAGGAGCTGCACCAGCCCACAACTTCGTTCAAGTTGAGGGTTTCCTCCCCATGCAAAATTCGATTTCTTCGATCCCAAAGTTTCCAGCAGACAACCACCGCCAAGAGGAATAGGTCCCTGGACAATTTATGCTCAAGAAGGTCCAGCCATGCCCAAAAAGGCAGACCATCCGCGGGGCGAGAAGCACGAAAAGGGTCATGATCCCAGATTTCTAGCAGCCCTGCACAATCAAAAATAGCATGAGAAGCCGATTCCACAGCTATACCACAGTTACGACAAAACGGGTCCAATGATATCTTTCTCTTGAAAAGTAACAGGTTTGAGGGTAAAATATCCACACAAGCTCGCCATAAAAAATGTCTAATCTTTGGCGGAATGGGAAGATTCCACACTCGTTTCCAATTCCTCGTAGAGGCGCCGCTCGGTGCCCCGTCATATGTACCCCTTGAATTACTACCCGACGTCTGCCGCTCCATGATGTTATGATAGCATGACTTGACAGTGAATTGCCCCGACTCTGTAAAGGCCCAAACCATACGGTCCTTAGTTGATGGTCCGCCAATCGGAACCGCCAAAATCCGATGTCGGTCCACTGGCCAAAAACTCTGTTCGATCAACTCCAAATCCCAACCACCTGTATTATGATTAAAAATATCCGAAACGCGGTTCGGAAAGCTTGAGGTAATTGGTCTCGGGGTTAAGATCATCGGGCTGCCCTCTCCCAGCAACCATGGATCCCCCCAGATGGAAGTAGAATGCCCATTTCCAATACGTATTCGAAGACCCTCTCGGATATGGTGCCGCGCTAAAACGATACTCTTCCACGTGGCTGATGGACGATTACCCGGTACAGCATTCCAGAAGCCACCATGTGGGAAGTAGCGAGCTTTGAGAAGTTTCGAGAGGAGGAGATCCGGTTGTGTGAGAATTCGCCACGCCTGTTTTGCAAGTAAGGCGAGATTGAAACTCTTCAGGTCCCGGAAGCCCATACCTCCCACTTCTTTCGGCTTACATAATGTGTTCCACGCTACCCACGCCACTTTCTTGCCCTCTCCGCTGCCCCACCAGAAGCGTCTAATCGCGGTCTCGATATCATGGATCAGGCCGAGCGGTAAGGCAAAACACGACATCACATAAGTTGGAATGGCCTGGAGAGTCGCTTTGATTAAAATCTCTTTCCCTGCTTTGGATAATTGTTTAGTACTCCAGCCCCTAATACGAGCCCATGTTCGATCGCGGAGATAACCAAATATTTCCCTCCTCGTCTTTCCCATAGATGCGGGCAACCCAAGGTACTTCTGGTGCTGATCCACAATTTGGAACCCAAGAATCGAATGAATCAACTCTTTTTCCTCCAAAGGCGTGGACGGAGAGCAGCAAATGGTGGATTTGTCGACATTAATTACCTGGCCAGATGCTCGGGAGTATTGGTGAAGGATATGTTGCATGGTACGAGCATTGGACTCCGAGGCTTCGCAGAAGATCAGCGTGTCGTCCGCAAAACACAAACTCGAGATGATTGGTGCTGTGGGAGCCACCCTAAAGCCTTGTAGCCGTCCATCTTCTGTTGCTTTATGGATCATAGCGATAAGAGCTTCTGTGCAAATAATAAATAAGTAAGGGGAGAGGGGGTCGCCCTGACGGAGCCCTCTAGACGGAGTAATCGAGCCACACTGGTAGCCATTAAATAAAAAAGAGTAAGAAACTGATTGAACACATAACATAATCAACGTAATCAATGACTGAGGGAAGCCTAGTCTGCCCAAGATTTTCATTAAGAAAAACCACTCAATTCTATCATAAGCTTTACTAATGTCCAATTTCAGCGCCATAAATTTCGACCGAGAATTAGAGTTAGTTTTAATAAAGTGGTTGAGCTCGTAGGCAACCAACACATTATCGGTTATTAATCGTTGCGGCACGAAGGCAGATTGGGAAGGAGAAATAATATCGCTCAACACCACTTTAATACGATTTGCAATGGCTTTAGCACCGAATTTATAAATAACGTTGCAAAGGCTAATAGGGCGGTACTCAGTCATTTTTTCCGGGTTAGACACTTTTGGGATCAACACAATAAATGTGAAATTAACTGAAGGAGGTAAAATCCGTTTATTCAAAAAATCAAGAATACAGTCAATAACACTAGATCCAACAATATGCCAATATTTGGTATAGAATAGAACGGGAAGGCCGTCAGGACCGGGGGATTTAGTTGGTGACATTTGGGAGATAGAATGGGTTACCTCATCAGCGGTGAAAGGGAGAGCTAGCCGATGAGCCGCTTCGCCATTGACCCTCTGCTCGACATGTTCCAAGACACTATCCACCTCTCTCTCCTCGACGGTAGCTGACTGAAACAGGTCCTTGAAGTAGCCCTCAATGACTTTTTCGATATCTCCTCTATCTTCTTTCCAATTCCCCTCCCCGTCTCTAATTTTGTGTACCCAGTTTCTCTTCTTTCTAGACGTAGCTTTAGCGTGAAAAAAACGGGTATTCCGGTCTCCCTCTTGGATCCATTGGATCCGACTTCTCTGTCTCCAATAAGTGTCAAGGTCTCCGTAACATCGCTCCAACTTTGTTCGAAGATCCTTTTGGCGGGAGATTGTTTCTGACGTTTGCTGGCCCGCACGAAGATCGCCAAGTTCCTTCTGGAGAGTGTTAATTTGTTTTCGGGGCTGCCCAAGAACCGCCCTACTCCACTGATGGAGGGCGACGCGACAACCATTGGTTTTCTTCAAGATTGCCTCAAAAGGATCGGCTTCCGTGTTACTTTCCCATTGTTGCTTGACTAGCTCCTCACATTCGTCCCTCCTAACCCACATGGCTTCAAAACGGAACGGCTTTCGGCCAAATCTGTGAGTGTACGTAGCCGGAGCTTGCACGGATAATAGGATTGGAATATGGTCTGAGCCATCATAATTCATGTGCTGAATTTCTATGTGTGGAAAAACATTCAGAATTTCACTGTCTCCACAGACCCTATCGAGACGGCACTTCACTGTATTGGGTTCTTCTCTCTTATTTGACCAAGTGAAAGGCACGCCCTGAAAGCCAAGGTCCGAGAAAGGGGATTTTTTGTATTAAAGTGAAAGGGGATTTTTTGTGTGGTTATACTAGTTTTAAGGTTTTCCTCATTTTTCCTATTTATTTTTATAAATTATTTTAGTTGAAAACAATAAGTATATTTTTTTTCTATCTCACCGAATTTATTCATTGTTATAGAAGATATGCCTAAGAGGGGGTGAATTAGGCTTTTCAAAAATTTAATTTAAATTTTTTGATAAAAAATTATTTGTATGCAAGTAATTAAAAAAATAATTTTCAGATCTTCAAACGAGTTCCAAATAATTTTCTAATTAAAAGATAGATATAAGAATGTAGAAAACAACAATGCAAAAATATAAAGTGCGGAAATTTAAATAACACCAACTATATAGTGGTTCGGAGAAATTCTAAATTTAAATATATGTTTCATTAAGAAATTTTAATCTTTTGAAATATGGAAATATACCAACATATTCGAAAATTTAGAAAATAATTGAACTAGGTGCACCTAATGGAATTTGAACTTTGTACCTTGAGAAAGAAGTCCGAGCAGGAACTCGAACTCTGCGCCGTACTCGATATGTGAAGTGTGAGCAGGACAATACCAGTTAAGTAATACCATCACATGCCCGCATGGGTGTAGCTCAACTGGTTCCGGAGGTGGTAAGTTGGTGCAAGGTCCTAGGATCGAATCCTGGCAGCCGCAGTGTGGGAATTTCAACTCCAATGAGTTGGTTCCTTGTGGGCACCAGGTCCGGGTCCGCTACCTTAACGGGCCGTTGAGTTACCATGATTTACATTCCTCCATCAATTCTTGTCGGACCAAGGGATGGGGGCCTTCGGGGCGAGGGATTTCGCCTTTTGGTGCAAGTAATACCATCACATGGATTACACATTCACAAGTATATACAAGGTAAATCAATAGCATAACTTGATCTCATTTTTTATTGTTAAAAACCTAACGAGTCCCGCTCGTGAACTTCTATTTAGAATACTATTAATAATACTTAAATTAAAAAAAATGAATTTATTCATATATTTCAAAATAAAGCTTGACGTAACTAACAAAACTTGGACTTAATTATACTTCTTGGTTTTTTTTAATTATCAATACTTATAAAGTATTAATGATATTTAAAGTTCAAAAATCAAACTTTTTTTAATAGGTTTTCAGAAGCTCGTGAGTTGGTTTGTGAACTCTGGTGGTGAGTTTGAGCCCTAAAATTTAGGATGAAGCTCAAGGTCGTATAGAAATTCAACTCATTTACCGTATAAGAATATTTAATATTTATTTATTTTTATACCTTTTGTGGTCAATGATAAATTAATTAAGTTAAAATAAACATTTTAAATATATTTTAAACAAAATATATGTTTTAATATAATTTTAACAAGATTATCATTTTACAATAATTTATTAATAGATTATAAAATTAAAAAAAATAACAGAACCCGATTGAAGTGGTAATATCCAGTATTGCAATTTGGGTTTGTAAATATCCACGTAACCTTTACTTCGGGCCCAACCCAACAGGATGCCACCTGTAATTTTGCCAGCGCGCCAAAATGGCTTTGCAGTGTGCTAAAATAAAAGAAATTTGAAAATATTTGGCGATCCGCACCTCACCCTATCGACCAATCAAAATCCACCATTACTTCCTATATAAACCCCCACGTATCATTCATTCAATCATCACCCAAACACAATCAAAATTCGTCTCTCTCTCTCTCTCGCTAAATCTAGGGTTTCTTCAATTTCGAATCGCGCAGCCGGAAAATGAGCTCCCCTGCAGCGGCGTCGACGAAAGGCGGCAGAGGCAAGCCTAAATCCTCGAAATCCGTGTCTCGTTCGTCGAAAGCCGGCCTTCAATTTCCCGTCGGCAGAATCGCACGTTTTCTCAAGGCCGGTAAATACGCCGAGCGTGTCGGCGCCGGCGCTCCGGTGTATCTCTCCGCCGTTCTGGAGTACCTCGCCGCTGAGGTAGTAATCCGTCATTTTTCTTCTAATTTCACTATTCTCTCTCCAATTTTCGTTTTCATCGTTTTGATTTTGTATATGAAGAGTAAATTTCAGTTGCTGCCATTTTTTTAAATTAATTTCAGTTTTTCCCCTTTAATTTCTCTGGATCTGAATTTGTTTGCTGATTGGGTTGATTTTGGATTTAAATTAATTTAATTTAATTTAATTTTAATTTTAATTTTAAATACTATTTAGGTTTTGGAGCTTGCTGGGAATGCAGCACGTGACAACAAGAAGAACAGAATTGTGCCGAGGCACATACAGTTAGCTGTGAGGAACGATGAGGAATTGAGCAAGCTGTTGGGGCACGTGACAATTGCAAATGGCGGCGTGTTGCCGAATATTCACCAGAATTTGTTGCCCAAGAAAGCTGGTGGAAGGGACAAAGAGATTGGATCTGCATCTCAGGAATTTTAGGGTTTTTAATCGAAATTTAGTCATCGTTACGGGCGGCTTATGTTGGTTGGCAAGGGTTTGGAGTTTAGAACCCTAATTTTGGTTTTTGTTGGGATTATGTACAGTAGTGTTAACGACAATCGAGGGTATCCTTCTTCGTTTATGGTAATGCCTAATTTCGTTTCGGTTTTTGATGCTTCAGTTTGATGTTGTCGAATGTCAATGCATTTGTGACTGAAAAAAGCTATGAAAAGCTCTTCTGGTTTGTGCTTAGTGAGCAATATTCGTATCTTTAAACATATTTGTCGATTTTAATTCGATTGAGGCTGCTCTTGGTAAATGATGTAACTGAGGTATTCTGCAGGTTGACTGCCTAATGGTGATGACTGATGAGGTTTTGCTTTACATAATTTCAAACAAAATATTTAAAGTTTGTTGATTGATATTCGAAAAATATAGAATAAAATAAAAAAAATGAGATTCATCTTGTGCTCTTAGTTTTGATATGAACATTTGAGAGATTGGTTATATGCATTTGAGAAAAAGTTTGATAAGGTGAAGGTCGAACACAAACTCATGAAATAAGTCGAGCTTGATTACATACCTACTCTAGTGTAAACAAGCAAAGCTTTTATTGTTGGTTTGTGAATTGCTACAAATAAATTTAAACAACTTTTAAGTCTGTTAATGAAATCCAGTTGTAAATAATTTTTGTAAGAGTAAATGTATCAATCAAAACCAAAATAATTCGAAATTATAGCATCAAATATCATATTTCTTGATCTATATTTATAATTTCTTAATGGATGGGATTTTATAGCTATGGATCTAGTTCCTTGGCGAACCTGCATCTGCAATCGTGACACCATTGAAGAGCTCGCACAACTCATCATCCAGTCCCACTGCTGCGTGTATGCGCTGCCTCGGTGCAATTGAGTCTTACTTGTGTCCTTAGCTTTAATCCCGGCAATCTCCAAAACCTAAAACGATAAAAAAGAAATCTATAAAAAAAACCAAATGCCGAAACTGTAACTACAAATTATGGAAGGAACCGAATATAGAGAAGATATAAAATTGCATAATAAAAGTGATGCCACCTGTGCAGCAAGGTACTCGAGAAAGTCGGATAGGTTAACAGGGGCACCGGCATTGAGACGTGCGTCGTATCTTCCTTTCTTGAAGAATCGGAAGACTGCGTGATTGGCGAATTTGAGGCGAGCCCTTTTAGAACGAGAAATGTGTTTCGAGGATTTGGACTTGGCTCTAGTTTTCTTTGTCGAGGCTTCTTCAGCGCTGGAGCTCATCTTTGATTCGCAATTTAGGAATTACAAAAAAAAAAAAAAGGTAAAATGTGAGGGCATTGATTTGCGGCGAGATGAAACGGCTGATTATGAGAATATGGTTTATATAGAAAGTACTAGAGTGGAGCGGTGAATTCTGATTGGTCGATGGGACGTGGTAGACGGTCAGCAAGGCCATTTAATTAGCGAAAATGGCTGCCACTTGTACTTTAGCTTTAATCTACTGATTAAGAAGATATGTTGTGAAGAGTCTTGCTTTGTTTTTTCTTTTTTTTTTTTGGCGAAATATTTCTTCAGATTTACGAGTTAGAGCAATACATACTCGGAATTTATAACCTCGTATTCGATTTTGTAAGGAACACGAAGGCCGTTCTTGTTAGTACTAAACGAACATGGGAAGTGAATTTGAGATCATAATCATCATCTTCTTACTCTAATAATCGAACATTCATTTGCTCGCAGGATAGTTTCCCGTGATTTTTACTCGGAAATGTTGAGTTACTACTATTTCCGTATGAAAGAATTTCAAGAACCCGAGACTGAAAATGGAGAAGATGGCTTTCGTAAGGCCGAGTCCATAACAAAAGTGATCGGGTAAGGTTTAAGTGAATTAAATAATTTAAAGAAAACTTATTCGAATACTTGTGAGTTTCTTTTTTCACGGCAACTTCGGAGAAATTCTAACGGGCATTCCTTGAGAAGGGAATGGAAGAGGATCTACAGTGATCGGTTCGTCGGGAGATTCTAACGACCAATCGTATCCGGTCACAACATAGTGTACGAACACGAGTATATTTAGCTTAGCCAGTTGGTACCCTGCACATAGCCTCGGCCCTCCCCCAAACGGCACGTAAGCGTACGGCTGAATTGGATCTTCAAATCTACTCGGATTGAAATTCAGAGGATCTTTAAAGTACATTGGATCGTAATGCGTTCCGTATGCCGTCCACAACACCTGCACGGAAAAAAAAGAAATTTAAAAAACGGGGACTCGTTTCTTGTTTTTTTTTTTTATTTTTTTTTATTTTTTATTTTATTACCTTCCATCCTTTTGGAATAGTGTATCCGTCGAATTCGATATCTTGGATCGCTTTTCGGAAAGAACCGAAAATTGGAGGGAAAATCCTCATGCTCTCCCGAGCGACTTGCCATGCATACTTCATCTTTTTCGTGTCTTCGTAAGTGAGAGTTTCTCCCGGTGCTCTGCCGCGCGTTATTAGCTCGTGTTCTAATATCGAAAAAATAAAAACGAGACTGTAAATTTCACCACTCTGTACGAAATGCCGATACATACGAACATATGTATATTATATATAGACGGGCTTACCTTTTTCAAGTACAGAATAGCAGTTTGGATTATGAGCCAACATCCTGAATGTCATGGCAATGGAGAAAGAGGTCGTATCGTGCGCCGCGAAAACGAGCAAGACGACGTTATCCACAACCTCCGCCTCGCTGACATCACCACGAATAAGTGCTTCAACGAGCCTGGTGAGTAGAATTCCCTTTTCTTCGTCTTCGACTCTGCTTTCTTGCTTCACTTGTTCCGTTAATTCCTTTCTCTTCTGCCGGATAATATCGACCAGCATTTGCTCTATCTCATTTCTAGCACCCTTCGCCCGGGAAAATTTCGACCCCGGAAAGTCAACCGGGGCGGCAAATACACCTTCCAGCACTCTCTCGAACAATTCCATCAATCCAGGTTTCGACTCGATCCCCAGCAAACATTCGATGACGATTGTAAACGTCAGAACCTTCGTTAGATTATAAAGTCTAATCGTTTTTGCACCGCCGTTCCAATATTTTTCCAGGTGCGTTTTAACCGTGCCGCATATTCTCGGGACAAGGCTCTCCAGGCCCGTAGAGCCGAGGCTTGTGGCTACGATCGCACGAAGGCAACGGTGTGATTCGCCTCGCTTTTCCATGATCGAATTTAAGCCCATTAGTTGAACCGAAGACGAAGGCCACGAGCTTACGACTAGCTTGAATTCGTTCGACAAGAAGAATTTATTCGCTTCGGCTCCGTTCACCACCACGGTCGGGTGCCCCATCAGCCTCGTTCGGAATGTTTTGCCATGTTTTTTAATCCGGGCTTGGATGAAATCTTCGTATAATCTGTTCTTCTTTTGGGCTTTGCAGAAGTCTATTGTTTCGCCGATCCACGGCAATCCCATTTGTCCAGGTGGCAGCCTCTTATTGGTTCTGCTCTTACTACTCTTACAATGCGACAAGAAAAGAATTGAAGTAATAGCGAAAATAAGTAATGAAAACAACAGAGAAACAAGAAAGTTCGTGTCAAGAGCCATTATTGGTAAATGACACGAAAAACGATAAAAAAACTGATAATACAATATGTTTAGTATACGGTATGTGTATATATTGAGGCAATGTAGCAAGTAGATTGATTAACAATCATGTCGACGGATTATGGGATCGTTTCGTATATTTTTATGGAATCTCGGAAAGATTATCTATTCGAAATGTCGGTTTTGATAAACGGATAGTTTAATCATATGCATCCGTTGGCATGTGATGCTATCTTAGCCTTGTTGCATTAATGTGTGATGGCACAATGAGTAGTTCTAAAATAAAATTTAAAAAATGAAGGTTGCCAGATTTTGAACTGTCACACATTAGTCAAATGAGATTTGAAATTGTTAATGAAGAGGGTATCCCTAGATATCTGCTTTGTCTAGTACTTAATTTTGAGCTGCAATAACTTATTTTGTGAAAGTCAAATGCTGGTTTTGAAATTATATCCACACTCAATTATCAAAAAAATAAAAAATAAACCACAATTAAAAGTTCTTGTGCCCTATCTCGGTCTGGATCTGACGGTAGAGCTAAAGTCGCTATAACGGAATTGCTTATGAAAACTAACAGGGATGGTGACGGTGATTTACACAGCTTAATTATATTAATAAGCAAAAACTTAGATAAAATACTAAAACTAACAATAACGGTTCTGGTGATTCCCACAGCTTAGTTATATTTACTTCAGTGTTCTAAAACTTTGTCGAGACGGTCGATTAATCGGTCTCCGAAGCGGAGGCGGTCTAAAATCTTTACGATTTTAGTGTAAATGTTTGAAAAATTGGTAATTGCATGTGAGGCGGGTCAAACTCTGGTGGCAAAAATTGGTCAAAAATTGTTTTGTTTTAGATAAAAAAAATTGGGCTTTTAATAAAAATGATTTATACTTTGTTTTATTTTTTAATGTTAATTTTTATTTTTAAAGGACCTAATGATATATACCTGCAATGTTCAAGTATAATTTTGGATGCACACGATTTTCGTTTTATTTTTATTTTGTAAGGATTTTTATTATATTATGATGATATGACCTTATTATTATTAATATTTTTTTATGTGATTATGATATATATAAATGATGGGGATAAAATTATGTTTAAATATATTGTTATATATATTTTGAGTATTTATAAATAATATCTAAAATTATATTACATTAATTTAAAAAGCTGATTTATTTCAGATTTATCGCCGATTAATCACCGTCCACCGGTTAGTCGTGAGGCGATGCCTAACCGACTCGGGTCCGATTCCCGCCTAAAAACCTTGATTTTATAAGCAATAGTTTAGTTAAAATACACTGAAGAAAAAATTAAACAAGAATATATGCATCCCACAACATATACACAACTTACACAGATAACATAAAAAACTTATTTACATAGTTTAGTTACACTGATGCGCAAAAAAATATAAAAAAAACATGTATTTCGTGTAATTTTACTATGACGTTTGGGTTAATTAGACAACTTAGAAATTTTATTTGCATAACTTAGTTGCACAACTTAGTTAAAATAAACTGAAGAATTTTTTTAGATCTTTGGTGCTTGCATCTCCACCAATATTTCCATTCGTCATCACTAAACAATTCTTCATATTTTTCCATTTTGCTTTTCGTGATTATTAGGTTACAGTGGAGGAAAAATAGTGTAACTAACATTATGCATATGTGTGTGTGCATGTGTGTCGCTGCGTGATAGAGTTTCGACAATGACAACAACGGAGAGAGAGATAGAACATATTTGACGGAGTGTAGCGGAGTTGAACAAACGGAATACGGTTAGTTAGATGAAACGAAGACGAGATTGAATAACATAAGACTTTTAACAATTGCAAATATCTGGCTGTCCTATCTGAAAGAATACTACCGTCCAATAATATTTAGCAAATTAACCAAAAAAAAAAAAAATAATAATATTAGATGAGAAATTTTGTTAATACTAATAACACGAGGACTTTTTTTAACAATTAAAATAAATATAGGATACCGAATATCCGCAATTAATCATAGTACAAACCATAAAATTCCAACAACTAATAATACAAATTGGGATTCCATTAAAAAGATCTTTCAAATATTAATAAATAATTGGTTGACTAGCCAGTATCAAAAATTAAAATATAAAAGACACCTCCTCAATAAAAACTTACTGTGCTCAATAACCTCAGAAAGATTGAGGAGGTGTCTTTTATATTGTAATAATATTGCTCAATAACCTCAGAAAGATTGTCTACACCGTCCAAATCCTTTATAGAGTAAGTATTATCAAATTAAGGAGGTGTCCATTTGAGTTAGTGTGCACGTATTTAGAATACTAGAAAGGTAGACATGCGTATGACTAAATTATCCTTACAAATTTACCTAAGTAAAGGAAATTAAAATATAAAAGACACCTCCTCAATAAAAACTATTATGATTAATCACAAGTTCTATATTCGTATAAAATTGCATGACATCAATCTTCAACGAAAGAGAGGAAGATATCGATTCTTTGTGAGAGAGAGAGAAAAATATGTGTTCCCGGAATAGGAGAAAAAAAAAGGACAGTTGGAGATGGAGAAAAAGTGGGGATCGTCAGAGATATGATAAAAAAAGTGGGGATCGTAGAAGAGAAAGAGAGAATATTTAAGGAGTAATATGTCAAAAGAAAAGAAAAACACTGAAAAACTAATTTAACTGAAAAAAAATGTGGCAGCATATTAGACACTCGGCTATTATAATTGGGTGCAGCATCGCACACACCCCCATTAAGACTGAAAAATAACTTCTCCAACATAAAATAATAAAATACAAATACAAAAAAATTATTTGAAGTTTTAGAAAGGAAAACACTTAACATATAGGGATATTCTTAAGTACAAATGACATAAGTATTATCATATGAAAAATGTCATAAGAAGTTCTCAACAGAGTCAAATCATACTTTATTTCTTTAGAAAACTCAAAACATAAAGAAATAGAAAACTCAAGATATATATATATATATATATATATATATATATATATATATATATATAAAAATTAAACTATTTTACAAATGATGATAGAAAATAAAAATAAAAATAGAAACTTAGAATACAGAAAAATAAGTTATTTTCATAATCATTTTTCTAATAAATAATATTATTATGAATCATAAGTTCTACAATATTCGTATAAAAATTGCATGAAATCACTTTTTAAGACCGAAAATAAAATTTCTTCAAAATACAATAATAAGAACACACATATAATATAAAGGTAATTACCAATATCAAAAATAAAAGAATAGTATTTCTTTAACAAAAACTATCAAATTCTTATACAAATGGATCGTAATTATCATACTATAAAGGGCAAGCAAGATATCGTTGAGATGATGACAAACATTTATGCTGGATATCCAATTAATATATATATTAAAGTGTTGGTAAATGTTGGATTATATATAGTTAATTTCATTAAAACAAAAACAATCATACAAATGCGTGTAGGTACCATTCATGAAGCAATGGATGTAACATAAATAAAATAAGTTAATTAATAATAGGGTAAATTACAAATACCCCCTAGGTATGGTTAAATTACAAAAACCCCCCTCTTGTTTGGATAATTACATCTACCCCTCAACTATGATTTTTTCTTACCTTTATGGTGCCAAATTCAACATAGTCATCTAGATTCCGTGAAATGTGCTCTAGTTTGTACTCTTTGTGTAAAAAATACAGTTTTCGATGCACCACAAACTGATATATACAAGCTAAAAATCACATATTATGGTCATCTTGCTTCATAATGTAGAGTTTGAATGGGATAAAACGGGTACAAAAGTGATAATATTCCATATAATCTCGAAGATTCCACTAAATTTGATGAGTTGAGGGGGGTGGTTGTAATTATCCAAACAAGAGGGGTGTTTTTGTAATTTGGTCATACCTCAGGGGGGTGTTTGTAATTTACCCTTAATAATATAATTAATCATCATAGGAAGAAAAATAAATCATAGCACAAAAAAGCCATATGTTTAAAATGATTCTATTCGATCTTCCAAACACCAAATAACAACGTATCAACAATTTATGATGGACACCTAATTAAAAACCACAATTAAGGCAATATAATGATTTATCCGTAAGAATGATGAAATAAAGAAACACTACAAGAAAAAGTTGCATTAGCGATACCCCAATTGAGACAAATGTAAAAGTTGTCACTTAATACACACATTAAGTGAAAATATTTTTTTTATTGTCACTAATAACTCTTTTTGTTGTCACTAATAACTCTTTTTGTTGTCACTTAATCCTTATTTATTGTCACTATAGAGCATTAGCAACCCCCTGGTAATGACAAGTATAGTGACAACACTTTTTACCTAACTATGTGAAAAATTGGTGTTGTCACTCAAAAGATTTTTTTATTTTATTACATAAGTTTTCAAATAAAAAATAACAATAACATCACAAAAAACATGATATCCAAAGTTATATATGATGATATAGAAATACTTGAAGTAATGAGAATATGGATACAAGAAAAAAATTGTCAAATTATCGACATCACAAGAAAGTTATAATAACAATAGGGTCATAAAATATAATGGTAAAAGATATCGTACTTCTAGATGTCAATGTTAGATAAAGTTGTTCAATTTAAGTAGATAACTTATCATCACAAAATATCTACATATATAATTTCAATAAAAAGATCAAGCACCACAAAAATATATAGAAAAATTAACAACAAGACGAGACGCACGCCCACCTTTCTAGTTTAGAAAAAAAGTTAATAGATATCCTTTGATTCTAGGAAAAAACTTAATAAAATGACTATGATAACTCCTTTATTAAATTGTTCCACCATCAATTATTTATCAATGAATTAAGAGTATTAAGGACAAAATTGAGAAACAAAATGAATATTTCATTGGAATTTTGAAGTGATAAAAAATGTGAAATAATTTTTTTTTCTCCAAAACGACAAATAATATGAGTGAATAATAAAATAGAGAGCAAATTTCAATTTACACGAAATTATAGGATCTGTCTCAAACATCTCCTAACTTACAAAACATACCAAAT